TATTTTAAGAATTAATACCTCAGGTCATGTTAATCAGTTTCTGATATATGTAGTTTTCAAAATACACTTCAGGGAAGAAAATGCTGGAAATGACTAATAACAGCAAAGATATGAACTTTATTCATTATATCTCTAACTCCAAGAGTGAACATTACTTTGCCATCTTAAGTATTTAGGAAGCCTTTAATAAAAAAATAAATCCACCTCATTCAGTGAAATAAAACATCCTCTTTTTTCCAAGCAAAAGAGTTCAAATTTATTAATTTTGTAGCTATATTTTAAAATGAGTGTCAGCCCATGCTAGATGACTGCATGATAAGTGTCCTGAAACTTCAGGAAAAGGCACTAAATTTTTCACAGCATTTGTGTTTCATTTTCAATGTAATAAAAATATGGTGCCCTTTTAATAATGAATAATAGATCTCCTGGTATGATTTACATGCGTGGATTAAATGTCATGTTTGAAAAGTTGCTGTTTTATTCATATTGAATATCCCTCAAGTAAAACAAAATGGTACCCAGCTACTGTTGTAATATTGCTGTAATACCGCGCCACACTGATACATAAATATTAACCAGTTGATACACTCTTTAAAAATCTAGAGATTTGTAAACTGTTCTGTCAGCAACTGTGGCTTTATATGCATATGAACTGATTTAGTGCTATCCCAAGTTTCAGATACGTTGGGGAAAACACACAGTGCCAGTGCTCACATACTACTGGAGCTCACTATTTTTTTGCTGAAGTGCTGATTTTAGAAGGCTGGCTCAGAAGAAGGACCGATGCTGAACAGGTACAGCAAGACTGGGGTTAAAAAGTGGCTTGGGGAGCCCCACACTGACACAGTTGTCCCTGCTTCTCTCCTCAGCAGTGCTAAACTGACAACAGCTTAATGATTTATTGTTTTTTTTTAATATCACTTGTAGGCACTCTCATTGGCTTATGGTGAAATAGCTGAAAATTTCCTCTCTGAACTTCCCCTTCTGAACAAAATCTTGCTTCCAAACAGGCAATATTTTTTTCTGGAAAAGCGTTCCAGAAATATTTAAAGTTTATTGCAAGTACTTGAAACTGGAACATCTTCCTTAAAGGTCTTTTCTCTTAATAGGTGAAACTTGTCATGTACAACAAAATATTTTGGTTTTGATAATTGAAATTATAGAATCATAGAATCGTTAGGGCTGGAAGGGACCTTCAAAGGCCATCTAGTCCAACCCCCCTGCAAGGAACAGGGATATCTCCAACTAGATCAGGTTGCTCAGGGCCTCATCCAACCTGGCCTTGAACGTCTCCAGGGATGGAGCATCCACCACCTCTCTGGGCAACCTGTTCCAGTGTTCTACAACTCTCATGGTAAAAAATTTTTTCCTAATATCCAACCTGAATCTACCTCCCTTTATTTTAAAACCATTACCCCTTGTCCTATCACAACAGGCCCTCCTGAACAGCCTCTCTCCATCTTTCTTGTAGGCCCCCTTGAGGTACTGGAAGAGTAGCTGAAAACATTTTTTTTAAAGAAGAGAAAAGTTTTAGCCATACTCCAATATCTATTCCATTGAAGTCAATGAATATTTTGATTCTGAAAAGTGAGGATTTCTTATTTTTGTAATTGTTTCATACAACTATTTTAATGTTTACTGAACTAACTTAAGAAAAGCCTACCAAAAAAAAAAAAAACCCACAATTTTTTCTTTTTCTGAGCAAAATTTAACTTTCACAAACCACAATTCATTTGTGCTCTTCAAGTCATCATTAAGCTGAAAAACATAATCTGGACTTGCTAACACTGGGACATGGGTCCTACAGAGTAATAAGACACTGCTTTAAACATACTGTGCACAAAAAAAAAAGTTGACTGACTACTTGGATCTTATCTATAGTAGGATCTTAGCCACCATGAGACAGCAATAAGGAAATTACACTAGTAAAATCCTTGGTCTAGTGTAAAGATGATGCAGTCACATCTGTGCAGGTGCTGCCAAGGACAATCTAGTTGCGGTAACTGCCTTAGTAGATGCATAGTAAACATTTCATCTCCTTTCCTGTCCTCTCCTTACTCAACTTTCACTCCAGACCTGAGAGAAATCAGGCAGTGCAAGAGTGTATTGAAAGTTGAAGTACAAAGCTTCTTTACTCCCAGAGTTAACCTAGTGCATTTTTTGAATCTCAGCTTGAGCTCATGTTCAGTTTGTGTTACAATGTAGGTGAAGCTTCAAAATAGCTTTTGTTTCACCTAAACCAGGCAGCATCAACACATCTAAGTCTAAAGTTTCCTTGCATAAATTAAATATATGAGAACATCCTTGTTGGGTCTAAAATGAGTCCCCTTCAGATCGTGCTGTTAGTCCCTATTCCTAAAACTGTAAAGAGAGTCATTTGAGACAGCAATTGCATTTTATCCCAGTACAAAGCATTCATACATTCTTTGTCCAGCATAATTCAAGGAAAAAAATTGCCCCTGTGACTGTCTGGCCTTACTGAAAGTCAAATAAAATTCAACAGGAGCTATTAGGAGCCACTGTCTAGTATGTAGTCAGAGGTTATTGGGGGAGGTAGGTTGACAAACTAAAAAGAAGGACAGTGAAGGAGGGGAAATTAGGGAAGCTGGCAGGCTGGAGCAAAGAACATTGATTAATGAACAAAAAACATTTTTGAAAGGTCGGGTGCGCAAGTCAGACTAGCCCTGAGGCAGATCTAACTTACATGACCAGCACTTTCTGTACGCTGCAGGTAACCCATGCTGACACCAACTTTGCCGACATGACAGGGTTATTATTTTTGGAAGGATGTCATGTTCTGGAACAATTTCTCTAATATATTAGTTAAAACTAAGCTTTCCTTCAATATCAAGCATGCATGTCTTCATTTTCGCCATGTTTACACCGAACTCTGATCGTTACTCCAGCCAAGGAAAACAAAAGCTTGTTCTTCATTTGTGAACGCTTGTATTTCGCCCCCCTGTAATATATCCCAGGGCAGCAGTGCTGTATATAAGGTTGTGTTCAAATTCAGATGCTCATCTGAAGCTCACCACTAACACCTCACCACTTATGCTAAGTTTTGCAGTAGACATTAACGATCTGAAGCCTAAAATTTGCCTCGTCTCAGCACAGATCCTAAGGGTTTCTTTTGAAACATACCTTAAACTTATGGGCCAGTACCAAGGCAGAAGAATTGAAAGGTAGAGTCATTTAGAATACAATACCTACTTCTTCAAAATGACCTTGTGAAGGAGGTTCTCTGAAATTATGACATTAAGGTTTTGCTGTTCATTATACAATAATGAAGACAGAGAATAACCAGAAAGGCATTTAATCCAACTCCCCTCCTGGTCCTGCATTTCAAATGGACTTGCCCGAGACCTGTAGCCTGGTTCTCTAGACCAAAAATGAAGTTTGGTGAAGAAGTTAATTAAATGTCCTCTGTGAGACTCAGAGGACTTTAAAGCAAACTCTGGAAAAATGCAATTTTTTGAGAGAGAAAACCAAGCATTTCTCTCAGACCTTTGGATGAAGCATAATAGCCACTCCTAAGCACTTACTGATGTATCCACACAAGCCAGTAGAGACTAACAGAAAGACAAGCATGTGGACTTTGCACATATTCCTCAAAAATCCATGTCAGGAGTTCCTTTGCGTTGAGGAGCAGCTGGACAAAAGATGGATCAACCTGAACTAGCTCTTGCTTAGTACTGAGAACAGAGAGATGCAGATTTGAACACAGGTCACTCCCCAGGTAGGAGCAAAAGCAGCAGGCAAGACCCCGGAGAAACACGA